TATATATATAATAAATAAAATAAACAAAAGTGCAATAAAATTACTTTACTATTTAATAAACTTAACTCGTATGAAAAACAATATTTTATATTGTTAAAAAAATATAATTATAATATTTAAGAAAAATAAAAATAAACATAAATATTTCTAACAGAAATTGAAATACCTTACAGGTAAAAAAAAATTAAAATCAGTTTGAAATAACTTTTTAGTGCTATTCACGATTCCGAGTAACAATCCTGATGATCGAGTAACCGAGTAACCGAGTGACCGAATAAAACTTGTAATATTGTTGCCACTTTGCACTGTTACTAACTCATTTGATTACCGAGCGAATGAAGACGATGATTGCGATCGTGAATACCACTATTATATATTATCAGACACATACATGATTATCTTTAATATCAATAGAATTTCTGTAAAACGTGGCTAATGCTTTTTTAAATAAATTTATATACAATTAAATACACAAAATTTTTAGAAAAACTCACAATAAAATTATAAATAATTAACATAGAAATCTTTATGTATAAAATTGAAAACAAATTAAATAAAATATAATATAACAATAACAACAAAAAATATTTATGTACAAGTATGAGATTCTAAATATAAGCACACACATACGAATAAAACATACATACAAATTGAATACTATATTATATATAAATATATATATATACATATATAAAGATGATCAATAAAATTAAAACAATTTATTAGTAATCAATAAATAGTATATGTTTTATTTAAATAAAGAAAGTAAAAGTTATATTAAATACAGATCTCTTCGCTTTTTCTATCGTATCTCAAGTTGGAAGTTTTATCATCATTACATGAATTTACTACTCCAGATCTACTCAAACTGTAATAATGTATTAAACACATTTTGAATTTTCTACAGAAACTTAAAAATTGTTGTAGAAATGTGGTTATCAATAATCCGATCAATTCTTTATGCTTGGAAACTATAGATCTTCGGTCAAAGTAAGATTGATATATGTACATATATAGCCAGACATACAAAGCAATAATCCGATCAATTCTTTATGCTTGGAACTATAAATCTTAGGTCAAAGTAAAATTGATATATGTACATATATAGTCAAACAGAAATTCAAGATAACGCTTATAGAAGCAGATTTATACTACGTTAAAATAAAACAAATACTAAAGTTCTAATTTTGTTAGATGATACGGGATTGGAGACCCAAACAAATCTTACAGAACCAATTAGACTGATTTCGCTGAATTGATATAGTGAGAACCGATATAAAACTGACTCAGAAACAGTTGCGAAAAAACTTGAGAGATGAAGGAACAGTAAAAAAACAGTTGACAAAAATATCCAGAACCAGTTAGACAAATATCGCTGGATTGATGTAGTGAGAACTGATATAGAACTGACTCAGAAACAATTGCGAAAAAACTTGAGATGAAGAAACAGTAAAAAAACAGTTGACAAAAATATCCTGTATATAATATGATGATTCCGTGTACAAGACAATTATAAGATTAATACTAAAGATGTGTTCTAGGAAAGGAGCAGGAAAACAGATCTTTAACTTAACACTAAAAAGATGGGAAAATGGGTATGATGACTGAGAAATGTGAATAATATCAAAAATAAATCATTTTAAAATTAAATATTAATATATTAAAAATATATTTTATTTAGTTTAACATACAATATTATAGGAAATTAAAGTGAATATTCAATTCATTCTATTCAAGTGAGGTAAAGTTTAGAAGTTGGATTTTTCACAATTCTTTCTTAAAGATACGAATAAATTTCCAAAGCGGCTCTGTTCTATAGTTTAAAACTCGGAATCATTATTTCTTTAATTAATCGGTTTATCTACCCTTAAAAAATGGTAATTAACGGTAGTATGTTGAGTTAAAAATCCAGTATTCCATCAAAATTCTGATATGCTTAGACTGAAAAACCTTTCCACATTTTTGTTTGTGACTCAAATGAGCTGTTTAGATAGATAGCCCTTTAATATTATACAAGGCTTTCTCCAACAGTAAATATGAT